TCACCTTAATTGCCTCTCTGGGCCAGACAGGGGAATGGGCACAATTCTAGTTTCCTTTAAAGGACTGCATACTGTTGGGTAGGGATAAGGGCCAAGGATAAAATATAAAATACTTACAGACGCGAAAGATAGAGGCGTGTTTGCCCTCCCAGACCTTAAATTGTATTATGAATCTGCCTGTTTGGTATGGATCAGGGACTGGAGGAGGTTGGAAAAGCAAGAGGGATTAGAATTAGAAGGACACGATAACAGATTTGGCTGGCATGCCTATTTATGGTCTGGGAAAGGAAGGTTCACAGAAGTTTTTATAACCATATAATTAGGAAATCATTAATGAGAGTATGAGAGATATAGAAAGACCTGCTGGAACAAAAGACTCCATGGTGGCTTTCACCACATGAAGCATTACTGCTCAAACCACTTGGAAATGGATTCTATTTACATTCTAATGTGAAGCTGCCTGACTTGCTCTTCTGGAACTAGGAAGCAGATGGGGGGGGGGGAAATGGCTCCCTTTGAAATTTGCAGTTCTCTGAATTTTGTGATGCATTTGGAAGATTCAGAACAGAAAAAATTTCTCGAACAGTGCATGTTGACCTATGGAACTCGCTCCCACAAGAGGTAGCGCTGACCATCAGCTTGAATGACTTTAAAAGAGGATTGGAAAGAATGCATGAAGGAGAGGGCTATCAGTGACTACTAGCTAGGATGAGTATCTGGAAAAGTCAGAGCTATTTTTCTAGAAAAAGAGGTGCCAGAACTCACCATGAATGCCTCCCTCTTGCTCTTAGAATGGCAATGGCACCCACCTGAGAGGTGTCAGAACCGAGTTCCGGTGAGTTCCTCCTGGAAAAAAAGTCCTGGGGAAAGGGTTCACAAAAATGCATGTGTTAGTGAAAGTAACTTTTAAAAATGCATCATAATAGGAAAAAATTGCTAGCAAAAATGTGTTAGAATCTTCTTGAAGACAGATGTGGAAGTGGGATGAACAGAAATCAAAGATGTGGAGAATGAGAAATTGAGAGAAGCCCACATTGCCAAGACTCATCCATCGCTGGTGGAGTAGCTCATCTTGATAACTTCTTGGTGGCTTCTGTTAGAGAGTACAGTGGTGCCTCGCAAGACGAAAAGAATCCGTTCCGCGAGTCTCTTCGTCTTGCGGTTTTTTCGTCTTGCGAAGCAAGCCCATTAGCGGCTTAGCGGGCTTAGCGGATCAGCTGATAAGCGGCTTAGCGGATCAGCTGTTAAGCGGCTTAGCGGATCAGCTGATAAGCGGCTTAGCGATCAGCTGTTAAGCGGCTTAGCGGCTTAGCGGATCAGCTGTTAAGTGGCTTAGCGGATCAGCTGATAAGCGGCTTAGCGGCTTGGGAAAAAGGGGGGGGAGGAAAAAAACCCCTGCAGGAACTCGCAATACATTTTCATCTTGCGAAGCAAGCCCATAGGAAATTCGTTTTGCGAAGCACCTCCAAAACGGAAAACCCTTTCGTCTAGCGGGTTTTCCGTCTTGCGAGGCATTCGTCTTGCGGGGCACCACTGTACAGGGATGAGACTCAGTGCCTGGAGGAAGCATGGTGACAGGTGTCATCAAAAACATCTGGAGGGCACCAGGTTGGAGGATGTGGAGCTTGCTTCGTGTGTGAAAGCTGATTATCCCACTTCCTTCCCCCGCTTCCCATATGGAGCCTTCTGCATGCAAGGCAGATGTCATGTCACTCAGCTATGATCATCTCCCAGGTGGCTGTAGGTGATCCTGGCCACTGTGTCTTGCTTGCTTACTCAATACCACAGCTGGTTTCCTATATCCCCATGTCCATTGCCAGAGAGCATTGGCGAGGTCTGTTGTGTGGGTCTCCCTGTTGCCTTGTAAATAAAAATGGACACTGTCTGGGTCTGTGCATTGCAGGGGAACATCTGCAGTGCTGATCTCTTGTTTTTCAGGGAAGCTAGTCTGCCATTAGGGACACAGGTGGCGCTGTGGGTTAAACCAGAGAGCCTAGGACTTGCCGATCAGAAGGTTGGTGGTTCGAATCCCCGTGATGGGGTGAGCTCCCATTGCTCGATCCCTGCTCCTGCCAACCTAGCAGTTCAAAAGCACATGCAAAAGTGCAAGTAGATAAATAGGTACCGCTCTGGCGGGAAGGTAAATGGTGTTTCCGTGCGCTGCTCTGGTTCGCCAGAAGTGGCTTAGTCATGCTGGCCACATGACCCGGAAGCTCCCTCGGCCAGTAAAGCAAAATGAGCGCCACAACCCCAGAGTCTGTCACAATTGAACCTAATGGTCAGGGGTCCCTTTACCTTTAGTCTGCCATTATTGACTTTCTCATGGAGACCTGCTTCCAAGCAACCTTAGGCTCTCCTGGAACACCATTTCAAAGCCACATCTTTGGCCCAAACTTTGTTCTTTATAGTATACCATCCACGCACAGGATGCTTTGCAAAAACGAAGGGACAAGTCCCTGACCCCAAAGGGCTTACACTCCAAAATCCCTGAGCTTTACAATCTCTCAGCCTGTTCCATCTGCTGTGCAGTTTTTAATGAGATTGTTTTATTGCACATTTTCATTGTGGATGCTTATAATGTCAATGTTTTACTGGGCTTGTGCATTTTGACAGCTGAGGTTAATATTTTAACGTTTGTGGAATTTGCAGAGCCTTTCCTTTTTTAGAAACCATTTTTATTAAGTTTTCCATTTTAACAATCCAATCCAATCCAATCACATTAAATATTCCAAATTATACATATACATATCAAATAATCCAAATATTCTGCCAAATTATAAATTTTTTATTGGGACTTCCCATGTTTCAAGTTCGGGGGGTGGGCTCTGATCATCTCATATCTCTGATGCTTTCAATAGGCATTTCCAATAGTTCCTTTAAATCTTCCTGTTGTTAACCTTCCTTCTTTCACGGCCTCTGAGTTGTTCCCACAAGCGAGTTGAAATAAACAATGATTGCAGAGCCTTTCCTGTCGGAAGAAGGGTGAGTGTCTCCACCACTTCGCCAATGGGACACAGCCACACATGCCCTTTTGTAGATTTACAAAAGGAAAAACACACGCCAATAAATAAATCTTAGAGAGGGGAAAGGTTAGACGCAGATGCACAAAGCATTAAAGCAACAACAACCAATACCCCTTGTGCTCTGTTCTGCTCCCCCTTTCTTCCTGCCCAGGGTGGCCCTGACCTCTACCTGCCCCTCAGAGTCAGCGGAGCTGGTCCTTGATGGCGGCAGACTCCCATCCTCCTCACTAGCCCTCCAGCAGCTGCTATGAGCTACCCAGCCATGGAGAGGCCACAGAGAGGCCACAGGATGCTCTCTCATGTCCGCTGCAGCCACAGCTGCCACTTAGGACAAGCTCAAAAGGGACATTCTGCATCCAGGATCAAAGCAGAAGCTGGGATGGCTTTCGTAATTCCAGGACTGTCCCTGGGAAATAGGGACACTTGGAGGGTTTGCCTCCTGCTCAGGGCTGGACTTAGGTTTGATGCGGCCCTAAGCTACTGAAGTTAATGGGGCCCTTTATATGGCCAGCTGTCCTTTGTCAACAACAAATTGTCGCTGTTTTTCTTGTTGAATATATGCTATACAGTGGTACCTCGCAAGACGAATGCCTCGCAAGACGGAAAAACTCGCTAGACGAAAGGGTTTTTTGTTTTTTGAGCTGCTTCGCAAGACGATTTTCCCTAGGGGCTTGCTTCGCAAGACGGAAACGTCTTGCAAGTTTGTTTCCTTTTTCTTAACACCGTTAATACAGTTGCGACTTGACTTCGAGGAGCAACTCATAGAACGCGGTGTAGTAGCCTTTTTTGAGGTTTTTAAAGACTTTGGTGATTTTTGAAGCTTTTCCAAAACTTTCCCGACACCGTGCTTCGCAAGACGAAAAAAATCACAAGATGACAAAACTCGCGGAACGAATTAATTTCGTCTTGCGAGGCACCACTGTATGGTAATTTATGGACCGAATAGGTATCTGAAGCCATTTGCACATGTTGCCGTGCAACCAGTCCATGCAGAATGTAGGCACCCTATATATAGAAATAAGCAAACCAGTGATATTTTAGGGAGCAGGGAAGTAGGCGGGGCCTATGACTTACATCGTGGGAGCCTACACAACAGAAAACACTGTTGCTGTATGTAGGTTTTATTTTATGTGGGTTTTTTTAATCTTATACAGTGGATGCTTGGGTTGCGAATGTGATCTGTGCGGGATGCACGTTCACAACCCACAGCATTCGCAACCCGTGTCCGCGCACACGCAGGTTGCAATTAGGCGCTTCTGCACATGTGCAAAACGTGATTTAGCGCTTCTGCGCATGCACGACGCCAAAACCTGGAAGTAACCCGTTCCAGTACTTCCAGGTTTCAGCAGTCCGCAACCCGAAAAGATGCAACCTTAAGCAGCTGTAACCCAGGGTATGACTGTATTTTGGAAATGTACATCCAGTTTTTTTCCTTTAAATTTTTTTTGGGGGCCCCAAGAGAGTGGGGCCCTAAGCTATAGCTTAAAATCATAGAATCATAGAATCATAGAGTTGGAAGAGACCACAAGGGCCATCGAGTCCAACCCCCTGCCAAGCAGGAAACACCATCAGAGCACTCCTGACATATGGTTGTCAAGCCTCTGCTTAAAGACCTCCAAAGAAGGAGACTCCACCACACTCCTTGGCAGCAAATTCCACTGTCGAACAGCTCTTACTGTCAGGAAGTTCTTCCTAATGTTTAGGTGGAATCTTCTTTCTTGTAGTTTGGATCCATTGCTCCGTGTCCGCTTCTCTGGAGCAGCAGAAAACAACCTTTCTCCCTCCTCTATGTGACATCCTTTTATATATTTGAACATGGCTATCATATCACCCCTTAACCTCCTCTTCTCCAGGCTAAACATGCCCAGCTCCCTTAGCTTGTTTGGCTTATACATAAATCTGGCGTTGTTCATGCTGTCAGTAGTCCCTGTTCACTGCCTCTATCCCATGTCTGATTCCTCTCTCTCTCCCTACCAGTAAGCACCACGTTGTTTGAGAACTGCACCGGGTGCGTCATGTGTTCGGAAGACAACGGCTGCATCTCCTGCCAGCAGAGGCTCTTCCTGCTCATCTGGAGGGACGGGATCCGGCAGTACGGGGCCTGCGTCCACGCCTGTCCACCGGGATACTTTGGGGTGCGAGGCCAAGAGGTCAACCGTTGCATTAGTAGGTGGCTGATTGCGCAAGCGGGTCTCTCCTATCCCAATGGGGCTCCTTATCGCTGGCCCTTGGTTCGTTCAGAGGTCTGGCCTCTCTGTTCTCTGGAGGATGCAGCTAGGGAGGGGAATTGCAAAGCCAAACTACCTCATTTTCATTTCCCAAAATGCAGCTCTCCTTCAGAACCTGCACTCCTCTGAATTGTGCTCTGCAGTTCCCCGGCATAGGCGCCGACTCCATGGGGCTTGAGGGGGGCTCGAGCCCCCTCAAAAAATTTTTGGGGGGGCTCAGCCCCCCCAATAATCTCGGGCGCCGGGGGCGGGGGCTCCTGCCTCGCTGCTTCGCAGCACCACCGCCACTGCCAAGGCACTGCCGGGGGGAATTTCCTTCCTCCTGGCGGTTTCAGCCCCCACGAGAACAGGGGAATCCCGACTGGCCACACCTCCCAGCCAGCCAATCGGCTGGCTGGGGGGGCGTGGCTTGCCCTATTTAGGGCCGGAGCCACTTTATTTGCATATTCATGAGCTTATTTATTATTCATGAGCTTTCCCGGGCCCCCCCAATATTTTTTATAAGTCCGCGTCCCTGTTCCCCGGACAAATAGTATTGCAAAAACGTGTTTAATAGGGGAAAGTATACAGCAGGTGGTGCTGTGGGTTAAACCACAGAGCCTAGGGCTTGCCGATCAGAAGGTTGGTGGTTCGAATCCCCACGATGGGGTGAGCTCCCGTTGTTCAGTCCCAGCTCCTGCCAAACTAGCAGTTTGAAAGCACACTAGTGCAAGTAGATAAAAAGGTACCACTGTGGCAGGAAGGTAAACAGCATTTCCGTGCGCTGCTCTGGTTCGCCAGAAGCGGCTTAGTCATGCTGGCCACATGACCCGGAAGCTGTACGCCGGGTCCCTCGGCCAATAAAGCGAGATGAGCGCCGCAACCCCAGAGTCGGCCACGACTGGACCTAATGGTCAGGGGTCCCTTTACCTTTACCTTATATAGAAAAATGCACATGTTGTTTAAACAACATACAAGAATGCATTATAATGGGCAGGATTGTTTGCAAAACTGTGTATAATTCATGAAAAATGCATGGAAAAGCATATGAATTTTTATAGAGAAATAATAATAATAATAATAATAATAATAATAATAATAGCAAACTGATAAATAAGCTGAACTGAACTCACAGGCTGAAAATGCAAACCCGGAAGAAAATGAAATTGACAGATTCCTCCATCAGAATTATAGCATCATCGAACAGTAGAGTTGGGAGAGTCCTGTTGCCGTGGGAAGTGGGTTGGAGATATCCAGGAAGAAATAAATATATGGCAAGGTGTTGCTGACCTCCCTCCCTCTCTCCCACTTTATTCTCTCTTGCCCCGTGCAGAGTGCAGGTCTCCCAGCTGCGACAGCTGCTTCAGCAAAGACTTCTGCATGAAATGCAAAGAGCAGTTCTACCTGCACAAAGGCAAATGCTTCAGCTCGTGTCCCCAGGACACTGTGGCCCAGCACAGCACCCGGGAATGCCAAGGTAAGCCAGGCAAGGAGTCGCAAAGAACCCACCCCAGGCTCTCTTTGAGATGCTTATCAGTCACTTGTCACTCAAAGGTCTCCAAGTGACTTGCATTAAATAAAAATGTGTACACATACATTAGGGTTGCCGTATTTCAGAAAGCGAATACCTGGACACAAAGTTGGGGGAAAGTTGTTGAGCCTTTTTGGCAAAATCTCAAAAAATAAAATTCAGTTTCCAAGGTATTTTAAAGACACCTAAAGGTGTATAATGAAGGCGCCAGGCGAACTTCCCTGGGGAGAACATTCTACAGACGGGGAGCCACTGCAGAGAAGGCCCCGCTCTCGTGTCACCACCCTCCACACCTCTCAAGGAGGAGGCACACGAAGGAGGGCCTCAGAAGATGATCTCAGGGTCTGTGTAGGTTTACCGTCTTTTTTGCTCTATAGGACACACTTTTTCCCCTTCAAAAATTAAGGGGAAATGTGTGTGCGTGTTATGGAGCGAATGCAGGCTCCTTGGCTTCAGCGATAGCAACGTGAAGCCTCCAAAGCGCAGAGGGAGAGCTCCCCCCCCCGCGTTCCGGAGGCTTCGCATTGCTTTTGCTGAAGCCGCCTGAACTCCCGCTGCGCTCCAGGGGCTTCAGGCAGCTATCCGCAAGCCTTTGGAGCACAGCAGGAGTTCCTGCTGAAGCCGCCTGAAGCCTGGAGAGCGAGAGGGGTTGGTGCACACCGATCCCTCTTGCTCTCCAGGCTTCGCTTCGCTGGAGAGGCACTGCACAGTTTTCCCTCTCTGCGCAGCGCCCCTTCAGCGCAGCGGGAGGAGAAATGGAAGGGGCTCCGTTTCTCCTGCCGCTTCGCTGAAGGGGCGCTGAGCAGAGAGGGGGAGATTTTTTTTTCCTGTTCTCCCCCTCCTATGGTCTGGTGCGTCCTATAGAGCGAAAAATATGGTATATGGAAAGAGGGCAGTCCTTGAGGTATTGTGGTCCTGAGTCACTTAAAGCTTTATAGGTCAAAACCAGCACTTTGAATTGAGCCCAGAAACGAATTGGCAGCCAGTGCAGTCAGACCAGGATCAGTGCAATATGCTCAAACTGTCTTGCTCCGGCAAGCAACCTGGCCCACCACCAATCCCCAGACCTTCTTCCCATGGGGGTTCCCCAGCTGCTTCCTCCATGTCCAACCAGTCCCTGACAGGGGGTGAACTTCAGGTGCACGGTCCACATGCAACCCCCAGGAATTTCTTATCTGGCCCATGGAGTGTCTCCAGGCCATGGAAGAAAATCTGGCCCCTGGCTTTCCTGCCCCTGAAATAATCTTGGACTTAGACCAGCCTTTCTCAACCTGTGGGTCCCCAGATGTTGTTGAACTACAACTCCCATCACCCCTAGCTAGCAAGGCCAGAGCTCAGGGATGATGGGAGTTGTAGTCCAACAACGTTTGAGAACCACTGGCTTAGATGGACAAAGCTCAAACCAAGCCGGCTTCCCTGTTTTCTGACATGGTGGTTGTGGGTTTTTCTTCCTTATCTCCCCCCCGCCAGAAAAATGTGAGGTGGGTCCCTGGGGCAGCTGGAGCCCCTGCAACAACCAAGGACGGACGTGCGGCTCCAAGTGGGGCTCGACGACCCGGGTCCGCGAGGTCCTCAGGCCCAGCAAAGATGAGGCAGCCATGTGCCAGACGCTCTCCGAGTCCAGGAAGTGCCGATTGAAGAAGATCTGTCCGGGAGGTGAGGTGCAGAGGGATGGAGGGGTAGCCCTGCTGTGGGGAGAGGGCAAAGAGATAGGAACTTGCCAATGTTTCTGAATCCCAGGCAGGGCTGGGAAACCTCTGGTCCACAGGGAAAGTTTAGCTTGCCAAGAGATCCAGTTCAGCCCATGAGGCAATTCCCCCCAAACTACAGCCACCTGCAGTGCCAGATTTATGTACAGTGGTACCTCGGGTTACATATGCTTCAGGTTACACACGCTTCAGGTTACAGGCTCCGTTAACCCAGAAATATTACCTCGGGTTAAGAACTTTGCTTCAGGATGAGAACTGAAATTGTGCTCCGGCGGCAGCAGGAGGCCCCATTAGCTAAAGTGGTGCTTCAGGTTAAGAACAGTTTCAGGTTAAGAACAGACCTCCGGAACAAATTAAGTACTTAACCTGAGGTGCCACTGTATAAGCTAAACAAGCTATAGCTTAGGGCCCCGCTCTCTTGGGGGCCCCCAAAAAAATTAAAGGAAAAAAGTGGATTTCCAAAATATAAGATATAAATACCACATAAAATAAAACCTACATACAGCAACAGTGTTTTGGGTTGTGTAGGCTCCTGTGATGTAAATCATGGGCCCCGCCTGCTAGCCTGCTCCCTAAAATATCACTGGTTTGCTCATTTCTGTATATGGGGTGCCTACATTCTGCATGGACTGGTTGCACGGCCACATGTGCAAATGGCTTTAGATACCTATTAGGTCCATAAATTACCATCTAGCATATATCCAACACAAAAAACAGCAACAATTTGTTGTTGACAAAGGACAGCTGGACATATAAAGGGCCCCATTACCTTCAGGAGCTTAGGGCCTCATCCAATCTAAATCCGGCCCTGCCCACCTGCCAATCAACTGACAATCAACTGGTGATGTCACTGGATCAGCAGGTGCATGGACTGCAGTTCTGCATTGGCTGCACAGTGCAGTTCCCCGCAAGGTGCTGTGAAATTTGTCTCCGTTTGCACTGGAAGGTGAACCTCCCCACTTCTCACTTTCTCGAATGCTCTGGGGACCGAAAGTTCACACTCCTCCGAATTTTGCCAACACATTTTTTCCAGTCGGGACACTTGTGTGAAAGGTAGAGCGTTTTAGAAGCTGAGTGGCATTGAGATTCCTACAATTCATTAAATAAATAGAGAATACACTACAAAGCAAGGCAAGGATGTTTTAAATAACACCAGCATCCCCCAAGACTCACCAAATGGCAATTGCGAAACAATAAAGGATGGCAGCAAACCATCACTAACAGGAAACAGAACAAGATGAGGGTTGGTGATCGGGGGGGTGGGCAAGGAGGCTAAGCAACCTATTTCCCATCCCATAATACTTCCACTCCTGCAAGCAGGATGCTGCTAAGGCTGGCATACTCGAGATCTCTGGATGGAATAACGTTGTTAACTGAAACTGCTTTTAGATGGCTTAAATTGTGTCTTCAGAATGCTGTAAGTGTTTTATTGTTTTAAGACCAGCACTCTCAGAGCGCTTCCAGGTTCTTGCTCTTTTCCGGTGAGATTCAGTTGCATACTGGCATGTTCAGGTTGCAGAATCGCAGTTGATTGGGACTTCTTGCAATAAATAAAGCCCTTTGACGCAACTGTCGTCTAACGTCCCTGCTAACCAACTGGAGCAAATGCTTGCTAAATTGCCAGCATCACCTAATCTTGTTGCAAACACATCAGGGTGAATGCTCAGCAAATAGGGTGTCTGGAAGCACCCTAAAGACTTGTAGGGCTGTTCATGACCTGATCTCCTATAAAATGCTAATTTAGATAGTATTGTGGGACACTAGAGTCATCAAACCATCTCATTCTCATGGAGAATTCGCTACTTTCCTCCCTGCCCCCCAGCAGTTATTTCCTACACACATTTTTGCAGCAGTGAGGAGGTTTGCTACTACCTCTAAATCCACATCTGAAACTAAATTATGTCTACGGAGCCTAGAAATGATATTTTCAGTGCTAAAAGTAATGCATATCCCAAAGGCTTTTTTGTTTTTTTGCATGTGGCATGAAACAACCCCCTGAACTAAACGTGGTTCTGGTTTTGCCTTTCAGAGAACAAGGAAAAGAAAAAGAACGCAAAAAGGGAGAGGAAACAGAGGAGGAAGAAAAAGCTGGAATCTCTCATGGTTATTTAATCGCCGTCAGAGCAAGTGGAAATGTCAGGGAGGGGAGCAGTACATGAGGCAGTCCAGCAGGGGGCATCCTAGTGGACGAAAAAAAAGACCTTCTTTCTCTGCCTCTGCGAGGTTCCTTCCTCTGCTATTTTTGCAGTGTTGTTGTTTTTCCATCTTTTCCATCCAGATCACGTTGCACAATCCTTCTTTCCAGAAAGAGAGAAAAGGAAGCCTTTGCGGCCTGTCAGATGTTTCCCCTTTAGAGGTCCTAATTTGTTGCCACACACGCATCTCCCTCCTCACCCCCAGATTGCCGGCACAGACAGAACAGTATGGAAAAGAACGCCGGGGGCCGTACGGCGTTGTGTCGCTGACACTCCCTGCACAGCCTTCGTTGGAAAGGCACCCCAGAGGGACTCAGAGAAGAGCGAAGAAGGAGGAGGACGTCTCCCATAGGACGGAAAGAGGCTGTAATTCAAATGTGGAGCACCTGTTTGGGGCTCAAAAAGACCTCTCTGAACCCCTGGAGAGCTGCTGCCAGCCAGTGTAGGCAAGCTGAGTTAGATGGACCAATGACCTGACTTGGTACGAGGCAGATTCTTTTACGTTCCAGAAGCGGCAAGTCACCCTGACTCGGTGGCCTGTAGGCTTGTGTTTGTTGTTGTTGTCATTTAGTCGTGTCCGACTCTTCGTGACCCCATGGATCAGAGCACGCCAGGCACTCCTGTCTTCCACTGCCTCCCGCAGTTTGGTCAAACTCATGCTGGTAGCTTCGAGAACACTGTCCAACCATCTCGTCCTCCATCGTCCCCTTCTCCTTGCGCCCTCCAACTTTCCCAACATCAGGGTCTTTTCCAGGGAGTCTTCTCTTCTCATGAGGTGGCCAAAGTATTGGAGTCTCAGCTTCAGGATCTGTCCTTCCAGTGAGCACTCAGGGCTGATTTCCTTCCGAATGGAGAGGTTTGATCTTCTTGCAGTCCATGGGACTCTCAAAAGTCTCCTCCAGCACCATAATTCAAAAGCATCAATTCTTCGGCAATCAGCCTTCTTTATGGTCCAGCTCTCACTTCCATACATCACTACTGGGAAAACCATGGCTTTAATTATACGGACCTTTCTTGGCAAGGTGATGTCTCTGCTTTTTAAGATGCTGCCTAGGTTTGTCATTGCCTTTCTCCTAAGAGGCTTGTGTTTATCTCCTTCCAAAGCAATGCAAATATACCACAGGTGTTCGCAGGTGGGTGGATAACCAGCTGTCCTGGCTTTCCCAAATGGGCTGACCCAAACTGCCTTGCACACTTTGCCTGGGAGCAGGCCAGCTCACCTAGCAGAACTGATGAACAGGAGAAGCTGGCTAGGATCTTGCAGCCCCCCAGCGTATCTTTCCTCCTAAGAGGAGGCCGGGAAGTCTTTCAATGCATTTGCTAGGCCACCACGCAATGCTTGCCTTCTCTCTCTCCCGCCTCCCTTCCCCACTTGGAACCCATAAAGGCAGGATCCTCTCTGCACAGATGCCAAAGCGGTTTGCCCGGAGTATCTCTTGATCTCTGTCTTCTTCACGCAGGAGGAGGTGTGATGTGATGGCTGGGCAGTTGACAGGGGCTCACTGATGCATGTGGAGAGTCCAGCAAGCCAAGTCCTAGACCTGATGAGACTTCTAGTTCACCCTCTGCGCTGCTTCTCCAGCGCACTTTCGTTGGAGAGTCTCTTGCTGTAGCCAGGACACAAGATGTTTCCGTGTCAAAGAAGTCTTTGAAAGGCCTCCAGTGGTTTCTCTCCATTCAGGCGGCCATGAGGGGTGCATGAATATCCCCCCATATTGTTCTTCCATTTGTTTTTGGCATTAATAATGCCACTCCTTTCGTTTATTGAAATGGCAGTTGTTCTTGTTATTCACTTGCAAAAAAGCTCCTTTCTTCTGCAGGCTTTCCTTCCTTTCCTCGTTTATCGTGGCTCAGCCCCCAGATCTGGAGCAGCGGCAGCAGAGTTTGATTTCATTGGCTGCATCTTCCCAGCAACCCTTGCTTTATTTTCCCAGAATGCCCCTGGGTGTCGTGTCACTCTGGACTGGAGCAAGGGGAGAGGAGTGCCAGCTGCCATAAACGACCTGGAATGATGCAACACCCAGGGCATTCTGGGAAAACAAAATGTCTCCTGCTTCCACTGCCACTGCAGGAACTTGACACATAATCCTGAATGACACATGAGGAACGAGTGCAAATGGGATATCAATAACAAACCTAGTTTTACCCATCCCTATTGGCATTTGTGAGCGTTGAACTGAATTGGCTTAATTTTGGTGCATTTTAAAATTTGTTACAAAATGAATGCATACCGCTGTCCGGGGGGAGGACGGGGAAGGATTTGGGGTCTGGGCAAGTGGTGCTCTAAGGCTACAGCCCGAATGGCACTATTCAATGGGCTGGATCCAGACTAGGTTGGCGGAAGTTAGGGCTCATTGAAATCAATGGGACAAGTTGGTCATAACGACTTCAGGGGCGGAGGAAGGAGGGTGCAGTGGGGGTGGGCTGCCCCAGATGTCACCACTGAGGAGGGTGACAAAACGCTGGGCAGCACTCACCGTGGGGCCTGCAGCGTGCCTGAGCCACGCGTCTCTCCTGGGAGTGACGCGGTGGCTTGGGTGTCCGCAGGTTCTGTTTTGTCCCAAACACTCCACCTGCGGCCTCCCCCTCAGTTGTATGGGGGGGCTGAGTGGGAGGGGACAGGCAGACGCCTCAGAGGCCCGGTGGAGTGTCCTGCCCCAGCTTGCCCCGCCCCACAGGCAACTAGCCCCGCCCACTGGGTAGCTGGCCCCGCCCCTGGGCGCAGAACACGCACACAGCCCCAGGCGCCCAATCGGCTTGCTCCGCCGCTGAATGACTTACGTCTCATCAATTTCAGTGGGAACTAAGGGCAACTAACTTCACATGGAGCCGAATCTTCGGGGCCATAGCTGTCAACTTTCAGATTTGAAAATAAGGGATCAGCAGCCTCACCTGTCCTGGGGACAGTCTACGGGATATCTAACAATCCAGGATAGCAGTGGGAAGCAGCGGGAAATGGCGCTGGAATAAAGGAAATTCCCGCAAAAAAAGGGAAGGTTGACAGCTATGATCGGGGCTCACTTTGGATTTGACAAGGGTGGAAAGTCAAGGAAAAACAACTCTCTTGCCAGAGAACTCCTGGAAGTGACTTCAGCTCCTGAAATGCCCTGGGACAGGGCCCAGAAGAGAAATAACCCAACCCAGTTTGTACAGACAGATCATGAGGATTTATCCTGTAGTTGGAGCTGAGCTGTGTCTCTGTCTACCATCTGCAACAATGGCGTTGCAGAGTTTCCAAGTCAAAATTTTGAAGAGAGAGCAAGAGCGAGTGCGAGTGAGAGAGAGAGAGCGCGCATTTGCTAAATCAGTCCCATAGCCGTAACCCTTCCTGCTACAAAACCACAGATTTGAAAATTAACCTGGGCCCTAGGGTTGCATTTCCCTGAAAATATAGTGGAAGCTCACCTGCGTGACCAAAACCTATAGCAGCGATGGTTTCCCATGAGGCCCAAACAGGGAGGAACTTCCCAGTGCAGAACTCCTGTTAGTTCTACAGGAAAAACGAAGGAATCAACATTGCTCTGTAAGTGGGGAGGGAGGGCGACCTTGGAAACCCACAGCTGAGCAAGACCTTTATTGGGATAACTGAGCAATATGTCCCAAAAGTGGCATGAGCTTTTGAGTTCCACAGAACTCTTCATCAGCCTAGAGGTTGCACAAAGTGAAGGAAGGGAGGGGGGGCGAAAGGGAAAGGGTGGAAAGTACAAAACAGCACCACATTCAGCCCCTGATCTGCATCTTGGAACTGAGTCTACATAGTGACCTCGTGGCTAAGTATCAGCTTAATTTTTATACTTAATAAAGAAACCCTTTCCCCCTTCCCACTTTACGTTGTCCAGCTGAGGGTTTGTGGAGGGTCCAAAACCTCAACAATCTACCCCCTTTACTTTATTTTAGTTACTTGCCTTTGAGAAAACTTGCACTGTAAGCCTACATAGGTACATTTCTTCAGCAAGATGCAGATTTTTGGATAGGTTCCTGTGATTCTGGATGAAAGCAAATTACATTTTATTGTTTCTATGAATAATAAATAAATATATATATATATATAATATAGAGAATTTATTTCTAGAATGTCAATGTATTTAAAATGCTCTTCCTCATATAGATTTATTTCTTCAATTTTGTTTTAAGTGTATTTTTGTTGGGGTTTTTTTATAAAAAAAGATGCATTGTAAATAGCAACCTCTGTTTGAAACCTTGTTGAGACTTAGGCTGAAAAAAACCAAATGTGATTGCATGGAAGATGGAGACACAACCACATCTTAAAAGAAAAGTTTTCCAAGGAAAGGGATCTTTTGTTTTTGTTTTTTTAACATACACGTTTTTTGCAGCTGCCACCTGGGGGCGCTACAGAGTAGAGGATGGCTGGTACTCCGTTCCTGCATTTAATACAATTTCGGCTGTTGCCTTCTAGTGAATGCAAGTGAAACGCAAAATCAGCAACTGCTACGGTTTTGTATATTGCCTGTATCACCTTCAAAAGCATGGCAGCTGTCTGATTGGTTTGCTTTCCAATAAAAACGTTCTTTTTTTAAAAAAACCCAAAACTTCTGAATGTGTGCATTATATGTTGTTGTTGTTCTTTAGTCGTTTAGTCATGTCCGACTCTTTCTGACCCCCTGGATCAGAGCACACCAGGCACTCCTGTCTTCCACTGCCTCCCACAGTTTGGTCAAACTCATGCTGGTAGCTTCGAGAACACTGTCCCACCATCTCGTCCTCTGTCGTCCCCTTCTCCTTGTGCCCGTCATCTTTCCCAACATCAGGGTCTTTTCCAGGGAGTCTTCTCTTCTCATGAGGTGGCCAAAGTACTGGAGCCTCAGCTTCAGGATCTGTCCTTCCAGTGAGCACTCAGGGCTGATTTCCTTCAGAATGGAGAGGTTGGATCTTCTTGCAGCCCATGGGACTCTCAAGAGTCTCCTCCAGCACCAGAATTCAAAACTCTATGATTCTATGATTCTATGATTCTATGATTCTATGATTCAGCGATCAGCCTTCTTTATGGTCCAGCTCTCACTTCCATACATCACTACTGGGAAAACCATAGCTTTTACTATACGGACTTTTGTTGGCAAGGGGATGTCTCTGCTTTTTAAGATGCTGTCTAGGTTTGTCATTGCTTTTCTCCCAAGAAGCAGGCGTCTTTTAATTTCATGACTGCTGTCACCATCTGCAGTGATCATGGAGCCCAAGAAAGTAAAATCTCTCACTGCCTCCATTTCTTCCCCTTCTATTTGCCAGGAGGTCATAGAATCATAGAATCATAGAATCATAGAATCATAGAGTTGGAAGAGACCACAAGGGCCATCGAGTTCAACCCCCTGCCAAGCAGGAAACACCATCAGAGCACTCCTGACATATGGTTGTCAAGCCTCTGCTTAAAGACCTCCAAAGAAGGAGACTCCACCACACTCCTTGGCAGCAAATTCCACTGTCAAACAGCTCTTACTGTCAGGAAGTTCTTCCTAATGTTTAGGTGGAATCTTCTTTCTTGTAGTTTGGATCCATTGCTCCGTGTCCGCTTCTCTGGAGCAGCAGAAAACAGCCTTTCTCCCTCCTCTATGTGACATCCTTTTATATATTTGAACATGGCTATCATATCACCCCTT